CAAGATACCATTATTCAGTTAGTTGTATTTTCGGTTGCAGATAAGATTTTGAGATACATTTGCCATGAAGAGCATTTGAATTGTCAAAAATGTGTATGCACGGAACTTTCTTTTCATTTCCAGACATTTGGACCGTATCTTAGGTTAAGTAACTTGTCATGCGTGTTGATGATTAATCATTTCATAGTCACTTACATTCCTTTCGTTCACTAGCATGCTGCATTACTTTCAGCTTGTCTTAGTTTTATATCGCTCATGGATTGGTTCTGCATATTATACCTATGCTTCTTTACGTTTGTGCTTACCTTCTGCAGGTGCCTGAGGCTTCTGAATGTGCTCTGCGTTACAGAAACTTCTGTAAGTTATTAAACTATCCTCTGACATTTTGAAGTGTTTCTGTGCTTGTATATATAGTCATCTTTGCTTTATTTTTGTTTCAGTATCACTGGCTGAGGCACTATTTTATATTGTCTTCGATGTTTATTTTTCTATTAGAAGTTCAAGTTTGTATCTTTGTAGATGAATCAATCATTAAACCTCTAGAGGGAGGACAGATCTAATGTTTAGACTTTGTTACTGTAGGAGTTATTGAGGACGAGTAATTTGCAAACTTTGGTTCTACGTTGGATCAGATCCGAGAAACATGTAAGGCAATTTCACTACTTAGTCTCATATGTTTAGTTAGCTGAAGTTATATTACTGATGATCCATGATACGACAGGTTGAGCCCTTGTGCAAGCTCTTGATCCAGAGCCGAGAAACATTAACTTCGGTTGAATTTATTCACTGTAAGCTTTCTTCAAGTTTCCTTGGTGCAATCTGTGCTTCGCTTCATGAAAAGGACATTCACACAAACGGGATTCAACGTTTCTGTATAAAGACATCTAGCATTGACATAGATCCACTTGCTGCGCCTTCCGCTTTTATTTCATTCCTGAAGTCGGTGAGGTATAAATTTGAACTGATGCCAAAGTGTCTTTGTGAAGTCTTTGATCATTTGGTTGTCAAAGTCTCTTTTCTTGGAAACCTCGTCATTTTTAGTGCACTTTTCTGTTTTTCTTAGTGAGCATCTTCTCTTTTCTTTCAGATCCTTACATACCTTACATTTTTGCGATAGCCACCTCGATAGGCATATTGGGAGGATGGTTTTCTCTACACTTCTTGATTTTTCATCAGATATTTCTTCCCTTGACCTCTCTGAAAATAACGTGGGTACCATAGTCTTTCTTCTTGTTCAAAATGATATATGGTTTGCTTTCCGTGGCTGACCAACATACAATATATAGATTTCAGGATGGCTTTCTACTTTCAGCCGGAGAGTTGTTGGTTCTCTGTCATCTGGAAAGTCTTTACAGTCGCTGTGCAAGCTCAACTTAAGGTATTTTATAGTAAAGCAACAATTGTTATGGTTTTAAGCCTTGAAACATTGTGAAACTGTTAGGAATGTGTCTTTAGGGGGAATGAACTCAACAGATACGATGCAGAAAATCTTGCGAATGCTCTTCTTCATATGCCCGGCTTGAAATCTCTTGACCTGAGCGGGAACCCCATTGAAGACGGTGGGATCAGGTTTTTCCTCTAACTTCCTGCATTTGCAAGCTTGGAGAAATTTAACAGAATTACATTTTTCTTACATGCTTTTATTGAGTGGTACAGAAGCTTAATATCTTACTTCACAAAGAATCCGGATTCTCCTTTAACTGATTTGAATTTGGAGAACTGTGAGCTTTCATGTTGTGGAGTTATCGAGTTTCTTGACACCCTCTCGACGCTGGAGAAACCTTTAAAGTTCCTTTCTGTTGCAGATAATGCCCTCGGAAGGTATTCTTAAAACTACAAACTCTATATCACTTTATTATGAAATGTGTCTTTTAAATTTTTATTTTTATTATTGATCTCTTCTCCAGTGAGGTTTCAGAGGCTATGGTAAACTTCTTGACAGTCTCCATCGAGTCGCTCAACATTTCGGGTATAGGACTAGGTCCTGGCGGTTTTCTTGAGCTAAGCAGGAAACTTGGAAAAGGGCTGAAGAAGCTGCTGAGTATTAATATAAGGTTTGAAGCAAACCTCTGTTTTCTGTATACATTGCATTTGTTCGCCTTCAGTTTACTCACGTTCCTTTTGCGGTTTCCGGCTATAGCAAAAATCGTGGAGGATTAGAGACCGCTAGATTCCTGTCAAAGCTCATACCCTTGGCACCAAAACTCGTCTCAGTCGACGCATCCTACAATCTTATGCCACCAGAGTCCTTGCTCATGCTATGCGATTCTGTGAGAAGTGCAAAAGGTAATAATTTTATGGAATCGGTTTGATCTGGCATTTCCTCGGCTTATTTCTTGAGCCATTTTGCTGATTTGTTGTGTGTGTAACTATATGTGTGATGATTTTGTTCAGGTGCTCTCAATCGTATTGACATGACCGGGAATAGCTTCATCAGCCACGAAACTGACCATACATCTCTACTTGGTGAATTTCAGCACAACGGAGAACCCATCTTTGTTATACCTTTTTCATCGGCTTCGCACGTTCCTTATGATGATGAGCCGTAGATATTAAGATTGGTTCAACGTTCACAATAGATGAAGCTCAGAGTAAATCAGCAAAGCAAATATTCTTTTAAAAAAGTTCCACATAGTTAAACATTAACTTTCGAGTTAATTACAATGGAGAAAAATACTATATGTTTCATACATTAAATCACTTCATTTTCGACAAGGATTCACAAGAG